TTCTTGTCGTGCCAACTGTTTATTTAATATTTTGACATCCAATTCATTCAAATGGGGTGAAGAACAAGAGTCATGCCTACGAAGTCTGCTAAAGTTTCTTCAAAGTGATGCTGTTCTTCGAACTTACTCACCCAGTGTACATTCTGTTCTTATTACTGATGCATCACCTGTGGGTATTGGTGCAGTTTTGGAACAGTAAGGTAGGCCACTTATATGTGTTTCACGCAAACTTTCTGTTTCTGAACAAGGTTATTCACAAACGCAGAGAGAAGCGTTAGCTGTGTTTTGGGCTGTTAAAAGACTTCATAAATATTTATTTGGAAAGAAGTTTACATTGTTACTGATCATGAAGTTTTAAAGTTCATTTATCATCCTGACAAATCCTTAGCACGTTCCTCAGCTGCTATGGTTCAACGATGGAGTATTGCTTTGAGTGCTTATGACTATATGATTCAGCACAGGAGTGCAAAACAAATTCAACACGTTGACTACATTTCTCGACAACCATTACAAGATAGACCTGTTAATACTTCAGACTGCTTGTTAGTGCAACCTTTACCGGTGAGACGTCCAGATCTCATTAGAGAAACTCGTAGATACTTTGGATGTATACTCAGTGCTATACGGAAGGGTTGGAATGCTAATCTGAAACGTAGATTTCCTGTCTATTATTCAAGGCGGGACGAGTTATCTACTATTCCGGACGGTATTTTGTGTTTAAATGATCGTGTTGTTATTCCTCCTTCATTAAGCAAACCTGTCCTTGATGATCTTCATAGTGGACATCTAGGTGTTGAGAAAATGAAGTCCTTAGCAAGACTCACATGTTGGTGGCCAGAGATAAATGCAGATATATGTCGTACAGCAAACAATTGTGGGGTACGTCATAAGCTAAAAAGTCAGCCTTCGAAGTGGACTCCATGGCCAGTATCGTCTGAGGCCTGGCAGAGAATTCATGCAGACTACTGTGGTCCATTTCTTAACAGACACTATGCACTTGTAGTTATTGATTCTTTTTCTAAATGGCCTGAAGTTTTTTTCACAACCTCACCGAATTCTGACTTCACAATTCAAGCATTAAGGAAGGTGTTTAGTCGAGAAGGAGTTCCCATGGTGTTAGTCACTGATAATGGCTCTCATTTTGCTGCGGATGCAGTCACTAATTGGTTGAATGATTTAGGGTGTAGACATCTGTTTACGGCTCCCAGGCACCCTTGTTCTAATGGTCAAGCAGAAAATTTCGTAAGAACATTGAAAATTGCTATTGATTCTATTGCTGCTTCGACATTTAATGAACTGGAGAGGGGAGTAGATACATTTCTACTTCAATATAGAAATGCTAAGCATTCTGTGACGAATGAGACTCCATCAAAGCTATTAAAAGGAAGAATTCTCCGTTCAAATATGAGGTGTTTGGAGTCTGCAGAAGTTACATATTATCGTGGGAATGATCTTCGACCAGCCACGGGGATCGTGGTGAAGAATATTGGAAAATCTATGGTGCGAATTCTGGATATCAATGACTTGACTATACATAATAGACATGTTGATCAAATACAATACCAGAATCCAGGTGAGTCTGTTCCAATTTCGGTTGTTAATTCTAATACTAATGAGTGCATTCTAGATAATACACAGTCTACATCCAATACACTTTCTGACCGATGTAAGATGAACTTAAGAAGAAGACGAACAATCGATTACAGACACTTACACTCCAGTTCGAGCTGTGGCGGTTGTGGTGTTTAAATAAATCAATGACTTCTCGGTGTTGATGACTGTTGTAATTTTGAATTCCAAATACAATACATTCGTTCGGGCTCATCTAATACTTCTTGATTAAATTGCGTTATTCCTGGGATTACTAGTTTATACTACAATTCGAATACTTCTGATTATCATAGTTGGTTGGCTGAATACGAAGTAAATTAAGTTCTTTAATTCATCATCACAATTGGTAGTCATTCATGGAGCCTGATCGGCAGCGAAATTCTCAGAAACTGACGTAGCGTGTCTTTATTTTGTCAAATAATCCCTCGCTCGTATAGGTCTGGTAGGCAAAATCACAGAGCAAGAAATTATGAAGCTTCTTCTTGAGGAATTAAAATATTTTGGAATGGGGAAGGAAAAGCAACGTTGATACTAGTTATCATGGTTACGTTACTTACTCTTGTCGGGTTAGTGAAATAACACTGAAACTCAATAGAACTGTTTGTCGAGTTAAAAATACCCTGTGATAAAACTATGGATTACCAACGTCAATGTCCAGCATCGATGATATAGGGTCTACTAAAGTCGGATGAGGAGGGAGGACCAACCGGGTTACACTTAAATAACACCTTCAGGTTAGAATCTTACGTGCATTACTCTTTCCTCGTATCGAGGTTCTATGGTTAGTTTGATGACTGCTGAACATAAACAAAGGTCAGAAATTTCTTAGTATGAAAAAGTTCGAGAACCAAGTGCGACCAGTACTCTGTGTGCCAGTCCTTCGCATAGTATTGACTGGTGTTAACTAGTCGTCAATGGCCTTGATGAGGACCAGTTCAGCGACCTCACTGCCTAACGATTTGAAAAGGGCTGTAGTGATCTACTTTTGTGAAGAGAACACGATTGGTATAATGCAAACAATTATTATTATAACCAACTGTAACAGTTATTGTTTTGATGTACATGTTTGTCTAAGTGTACAAAAGACCTTTTTCTTCAGTTGCCTGTGACTTTGTACAAGCTCGCTTACGTCGGTAGTTCTGCTTGTCTCGGTATTCTTTCGATACCACGAGATCCATAACAAATATATTGTGGTGCAACCGTCCAAAGCCCTCGGCTTTTTGGCCTACGCAGAGATGCAACTCGATGCCATCTACAAGGCCTTAATATTTTACTGGCCCTAGTGATCTGTCAGGCTGTAGTTGTGTACCAAACTTTGTCAAGATCAAAAAGAGTGGACGCACGCTGGTCAGAATAAATCAGAAATTGGAACATGCTGTGATCACTCACATTTCTCAATCATCACTGTTCTGCTTTCATAGTATTCAAATTGAGCATCTTTTCGGACCCTACTTATTGCATAGGTCTTAAGGGGCAGTAGACTAACACTTCGAACAAGTTACGGTGGGCTGGTTAGTAGTGTCTAAATCTACGCGCTTATTGATCGCTGGATAATCCGAATACCACGCTTGCAGGGTCTCCTCATATTGGAAATGAATTCTAATCTGGTATACTGTGATATCTATGCTAACTGAAAATTACTTCTTATATTATTCCTTGGCCTACTTGATTTGCAAACACTGATTCCAGTAGTACCTAGCAAACTGTATTTGACACTAACTCGACAATTCTACGGTATCCTAGTTAGCATATAAATCGTATTTCTTCTGATATTCACACTGGTTTCACGTAGGAGTTAGTTCTTGAATAACTGGACCTTAACTCAGGTAGAAGTCACTATCCGTCGTTATAATAGTCGTCTATGTTATTTGCCAGGCTCTACTAGGCTTCCAGAACGCAATTTAATCACTTTAACTTACTGCTCATTTTCTTAATATCGCGCTCAAACTTCATATCAAAATCATAAACATAATCAACAAAAGACGGGTAATCGCCACACGCAGTGTCAATGATTGCCAATATTGTATTTAAGAAAACATTTCATGGCAGGATATATTGGAAATATTTTAAAATTCATACTTTGGATTTAAGATCAATAAGTTTTCATTTACCTGGACGTTGCCTTCATGATTCACTGAAAACGATTACCACTATTTTCGAATATGGTTTTTTGTGTACACAACTTCCTCAAGGATAGCCACAACAGATAAGTTGTAACCAAGTTGTTCCGGTTTTTGGAAGCTCCATACAAAACTCAACTTACTTGTAACGAGTCAGGAATCCCTAATCAATCTTAAGATTATAATTAGCCTACACCCTGAGATGTGATCATATAGTTTTTGCTCAACTACTTTTCAATCATGGCCCCTGAGATATCTTGACGATTCGTCTGTTTTCTGCTTAACTGTAACCTATAGGACGATACAAACTATCTCATAAACTGAGACCATTATTGCATCTTATAAGTTGCTCGATAGCCACGCTTGAGCAAGTTAAGGAGCACACCTGTAAGAGCTAAAGGGGAATAGCAGCCCTGAAGAGTATCTTTAAGACATAAACAGCGCTAATGAGTTAAACGAAAAAAGCTATTGAACGGAAGAATTGGACAAAGACAATCTCTTGCTTCTGTATATGTCTAGGTGTCAACGGTTGTGCGAAAAATACTTTACTACAAATTATTGGTAATCGACTCCCAGTTTTGCACTGCCTGGCGATGAGTGGTTTAGGTTGTTAGACCTTACAAGGGTACTGTATAACAACAGCATTTCTGGAGTCGAACAAAAACACACCTAATAAATTTCTTTGGAGGCTGTTTAACCTTGAAATGATGCTCTCCCGTAGAAATTAATAACAGTAATAAGCATGATGCTGCAGATGGTTAGATGTGACTCAACTAGCAGTTTAATAATTCCCTGTAGCTAAACAAGGTCATAAAACGATGAGCATTCACGCCATTTTACCGAAAGCAATAAGTGGAATGGCAAGGCGACATCCCTCAATCTGAACACTATGTGACAAAGAAGAACTTCATATCTTAAACTAATCTTTAGAAACAATGTCTGTCACGTATTTTTGTATTGAAGGGAATTACACTGTCATTCAGGAAATCAAAAACTGCTTTGATAACATCAAGCCATAAAGCTCTACTGATAACATGAATAAGCTGAAGTAAATGTGGCAGATTTATAGCGGTTAACAGACTCAGCTCTTCCCTATGGTGTTATTACAAAAGTTATGGCCGTATATTGACTAAATTCAATAAATTTTAAAACAATTATTACAGAAAAATGCATGTAAACGGTCTAACGGATTGTACAATAATATATTAATTTAAAAACTAGTATCACAGATACACGTTAAGAGATGTTATGTACAAAAAATACTTCTTTTCACTGTTTATTTCTGGAATAACAAAATATAGAAAAATAGGAGTGACTTGTAGCGATCAAAAGTTACACCAAATTGAACAATGAATACGTAAACAAAGTACATAAAAACTAGAACAAGGAATCATCAAGAAAATAACCATTTAGAACCCTTTTTAAGGCTTTACAATTTTGAACATTTACCGTTTTATTAGTCGGCATGGAAATGTTACTAGTTTTACAGATACCTATAGTGTTTCATCCATTCACGATTGTAAAAATAAGCTGATTTCACTGAGTAAAGTTTTCCAACATTAGAAAATCATTTAACGTTGGTATCAACACAAACTTCAGGATGAATCATCTCCGTTACAAAAGATGCCCTATTTGACGGGTATCTTAGATATATTGCAATCACAACTAACACCAAACTTTTGGACTTAGACCTAACGAAACCAACTACATCAATAGCCAACTGTATTACAACATCTAATAACATTTTTTCTAAATCTTTACTCTGTTTACATAATATAACCACTTTTAAAGATGAACAAGGTGAATTATTGCTTTCGGACTGCGTAACCTAAACCCAGTAATCCGTTGGCGTCAACCAACACATTTGAACCACTATTTGGGCGTTAGGTGAACAAAATCATTTTTTCACTACACTCCCATCGAAAGAGTGAAGTAATGAAAAACATAAGCAAGCAAAAATTGTACGGATTTTCGCAGATTGTTAGGTTATATTATTCATAAAGAGATATGAATATTTGAACGATATTTCTGTTATCAAGATGCATCACACGTAGAATAAACTTGATACGCGTATTGGTTATGTTTACATCGCTATCATACCGCAAGGTTCCGGATACCAAGTCCAAGAATGTAAATTATACATTTAATTAATGCTGAACGGTTAGTGAGTTTATTATTACAAAATGATCACTAGTTCACAAATTTTCAATCGAATAAGAAGGAAATTCAAATAAGAACATTTTTTTACGAAAACTCAATTTACTTAAACTGAACAACTGTATTTGTAGGTTGTCTTTACAGATAGTAATGTTTAATAAGATAGAAGCGGGGGGTTGTATCATTTAATTAAAAGTTATCAACAATAGAAATCTAAATCCATTGATAATTCTAAACCCCTATTGTGATTTTTATCTGGTGAATCTATTAGTTAAGTGGTAGGTTAAAATAATTTATTAAAACAGTTACGTGAAAAATTAAAATTCAGTTAATGGGTTCATTAATTTTCAGGTAGATCCATCATTATCATTATTATTACCACTAGTATTATTATCATCACTATCGTGAGAAATCTAAAACTACTACTAATGGTAAACGTGTTAATTATAGTTTTATTTGGACGACATACCTAGTCTTTCTATTTACATAGAGATTACACGAATATAATTTTTATCAATTTTTTCCCTATTAAAATAATTAAAAAAGTCAGTCTGCATAACTATAAAGATCTAGCTGGGTTAGTATGTGATTAGTTAGAAAATGGATTCCACTTTCATACTAATATCTATTAACCACAAACTCCATACAGTCTTATTTTATCTATTGGTTACCCGACGAATGGATTGGATTTAGTGTTTTCATTTTTGAAGCAAAAACTTTATGCTTCGAAGATAATTGTACTACTTGAGGGAATTGTTTTAATAACATAGAATCCAAAAATACAGGAAAGTAAATTTCGACACCCGATCAAGAGCCTTTGTGCTACATGGATTATAACCAGTGACATTACACAATAGTGAATTATTAACAGTCGATTTAAATAATTCATACAGGAGATACAAAATGCGCTTCTAACCACATGACGATAAACTTAGAAATTCAGGCTAACCAGTCAATCACTTATTTTTAAATATTTTGGTCAATAGGGGTCATGAATTTCCACCACCGATATAGTAATACCAACGCAGCTGCTTTAATTAAAGTAGGTAGAAGGGAGTTTGAACATGTGGCGTATATTGATTGGAAGGTGAATAATCCAACTACTAAGAGACTACTTCTGTTAAAAAAACGGAATCATAATAGAATTCTAACCAGCTCTGTACCCTTGCTTTCTATAGATAGGTGATATCAAGCTGCTAACCATGTTGCATTGAAATCACTGTGTTTAAAAGATTATTAAGTAATCGAGAAGTGTAAAAATAATTATACTACATAACATTATAGATCAAAACAAGTTTCCTTATTCTTATACAAAATGAGTTGAATTAGATGAGGAAGAGTGGATTTACATTTTGAAACTGTCTATTCTGAAATACATTTGGTTTTCAATTTAAAAATATAAATATACGCATGTGTAGTAAACTTACAATGTATCGTTTTCATAGAAAGTGGAATTGCTAATTTCTATAACTGGTCCAGGGATTATATGACGTACGCTACCAAAAAAGTCTGTAACAAGTACATGACGTATATCACGTCTAAATAAATCAGATCGAGTGATAACAGTTGATTGACATAATGAGAAAGGGCATAATTGGGACTAGGTTACAAAATAAAAAAGTAAAGACACAATATAATTAATTTGTATGGCTAAATAACTGACTCAAATACTTTTACTAAGATACATAATCCGCTTCTAAAAAAGCTAATACGTCTATAGAGTCTATCACAAGAATGTATCGATCGAAGTTACTACAGGTTGTATAGATACGAGGAAAAATCAGGATGATTAAAAAAACACTATTGGACACCCAGTAATTATAAGGTCAAAATAAATGAAAAAAGAAACGTGAATTTGTTGCCAACACTGTAATTTACGTAATGAGACATCCAACCATTGGTTACGAGCACTATCAAGATAATATTGAAACAGCTTAAACTGTCCAAGGACGATTTATTCAAATTAGTTTAACTATATACAGGCAATCTCTTTGATCTTGTCATGCGAAATGACAGTCGTTGATAATGCTCTTGAAAAATGTAGAACCCGCTATAAATACTAATCTTTTCAGTGTACCATATCATACTTCGACACAGAGAAATAGAACTAACAGGATGTAAAGCAAAAATTGAATACGAAATTAGCAGGAATAAAAACTAACTAGATAAAACGTAATGAATACATTTGTTGCAGTGAACAATGGTCATTCGATGAAACCAAATATAAAATTCTAAATTATTTACATAGTGATTAGAAATCTACTCGAAACACTGACCTGTTGTCTTATTTGCACTGGTGAAACTTCCACCACACATATAAACCAAGCAGAACTGTGTGTAGAAATGAAGCAATTAAATCACTTCATTCATTTTCCGTCAACAGACTAACTTCTAATTCCCCCAACACAACTTGTTTCTATTTACCTGTTTTTTTATATCAAACTTCATTCCAATATCAAAATCTGTCTTTTCATGATATAAACTCGTTATTACAGTTCATTATTCCTATCGATTTCTGACATGTCTAGGTAAAATTCAAGTTACTAACTACATTATTAGTCATTTTATAAGTATAACATTCTTTGTGCTGAAAAGATTCATCAGCTCTTACGTTTCACAATGATAAGATTGACAACAACCAAAAAGGTTAGTATGGAATAGTACGATAATCATCAATTGTAACGTCGATTGTTTAATCTAGCACATAAAACTATACGGAGTTTCCAGTACACAAACAGAAAGCTATGGTATAATTTAAACTTACAAAATCATACAATGTTCTTTTGCTTGAAGGAGTAACAGACTCCAAAAACTGAAACGTATAATAAGAATATCGATCAGAAACATAGGTTCCGATTTCACGATCCGAATGGAGCTGAATGATCAAATAGTGAGAATATTTTTTTGCACAGTATACAATTAGTTGCCAGTAAAATAATGCCATACAAATATGATTAAGTTTAAAAGAAAATCTTAATTTTGACCAAATCCAGTCTAGTAGTGTGTATGAAGGGAAATACATTAAAATTGCTATGAATTTAGATACAAACACTGATGCTTAGACAATATTGTTAACATTATTCGGATTCGATAAGCGAGGAAAATCACAACCGTATGACAATTACAAAATAACTGATAATTCTATAAACCCAAATTGAATTAAACATGTGTAACACGTATATACAAGTTATGTACTTCAAAGTTCAGAGAGAAACTCAAAATATCTACTAACTATTCAATTAAGGACAAAAACTATACTTGTGAAAATCTTAGTGATTGGACTTCAACTAGATTCAACGTTTTATTTGGCAACCGAGTTTTTGACTCATGCTCGTTTATTATTTGTTTGCCCCCAAATGCCCTGGTACGGCCGAGAGTGGGGAGAGTCACCTCTCCTTCTCGAAATACTCTCATATGGCCAGCGAATATATAGCTTCTGCCAGGGAAGTCCTACTCACTGCCTTCTCGTGGCGGGGGTGTTGTTTACGAAAGTGAGAGGACGAAAAGCGAATGTCCGGCGCTTTAACCGGGTTGGTGGACACGGAGGGTCCACCTAGGGGAGTTGGAAACCCTGATTCCAAACCAATGGTGCACATGGGCTCCAGTATCCTGATGGAACGAATGGCGGACGAACCTGTCATTGGTCACCGGCTACCATGGGACTGCATCTCCTCACGATGCTCCACTGCCTTGTGGATCGGACATTCAGGTCAAAGGCTCCGGGTGTGGCCCCCTAAGAAAACCACCTGCTTCAGTCTGGGCACCTGGACAGTATCACAGCCCTCACACAAATCGAATGAGATATGTGAGGCGCATATTTATTTGGTGCTTCATTGTACCAATATTTATGTGTTTAAATAAATAAATAAATAATTATATCGTAGAAATCATAGCACGAATTACAGCCATGATACACCCTAGTAATATCTAGACATTATTTTTCATTAGCATTTTTTGGTACAGTCAGTTCTTTGCCGGTAGTTTCAGTTCATAAACCTGTAGGGGATGGTACTATGTCAAGCCTACATAGGTTATTCTAGCCTCTAGATAGATTAATCTATTCATTCTTCTTAAACCGCATATTTACTATTGACTGATTGACGTAAGCGTATGTGTGTGTATTTCTTATCTTATTCATTACGTGTCCGTAACTTATTTTTCTTCTGACTATAAATATCGATTAACGCTTGATTAAATCGAGTTGACTCATTCTTCTTCTCCACCGCGCGTCATTCGGTTTCGCTTCTCTCTCTCCTCTTTGCTCCGTCTCCCTGATTGGCTGATGGGATCAATGATTGTATGAAATATACGTATTCCAAACTTCATTCCTGTATTTGACTTATTTAATTCCATTGTTTATCTACGTGATTTAAGTCGATGATTATATACGAGGATTGGCGACACGTATATTTTGAAAGCAATCAACATACGATCAAATAGAAGTCACATATAGGGTCACTAAAAGCACAACTTAACTACCCAAGAAAAACCTGTATGGATAATTTGTACGACCGAATGAGGGAAAATATTTCGGAACCACCTAACCACTCAAGTCAAAATGATGGATTATATTTTATAACATTCAGTAGGGTGGTAGTCAAAAGGGAACTGTATATTAGGAAAGTCTGTCAGTCTTAACCAATAAGTAGATGCAAATATGCGTTGAAGTAAGCTAACATTCTGAGTACTGACTGAGACAATTTATATCAAAATGAATGACAAGTAGACCGTGTAAAGAATAGAGCTTTAAGTGTTGCCTTGAGAAATATCAACTTGAACTCACAGATAATGATTCTTCACCTATAGCGCTGCTACCAATGGCTACTACATTTGGCGAATAAAACAACTTGCCCATTGATTCAGCTTGACATGTATCGACAATGAATAGTAATTCATGATACCTTTTTAAGAAATAAGTAGATTAAGTGATTAATAAGTTGTACAAGAGTGTTTTAGCGACATCATCATTGAGACATTTTATACAGAAAGACTTAAAACGAATCGTCAAGTTGGGGTATCAGGTGTAAATAATAGATGGTTCTAAATTCTAAGAAGATGAAACTTACTTTGTGGTATTCACACAAGAATTTATATCCCCCGAACACATTGGTACGATCGAGAATGAGGAGTGTCTGCCGTCCTCCTCAGAATGCTCTTATTTGGCCCTGTGTACATGTCCACTGGCAAGGAAATCCTACTTACTGGGGTGGTTGTGTATAAAACTATCACCCCTTTTGGAGTATTTATCTGGACTCTCATTATGTCATTGTTCGCACTAGACCTAGGTTTCAGTGGCCAACAAATTCATACGAAGATGCCACAGGGTCCCAGGATAAACAAACTTTTTGAAGCGACAGATGGAGAAAGAATGTATAGTACTTCACTAATCTTGGATACGGGCCTCGGATAGACAACAGATATCGATTTCGAGACTTTCTAAAGACACCTAACCCTATCTGTTGTTCGATCTACATTAGTGTGCGAACGTTTGGGGGCCAGTTTGAATGGGACACATGGTTTTAGAAAGGCTGGTTGAGAATTCGTGTTTGGTAGTAGCCTTCAACTCTCGACTAGCCAGTGATTTTAGATCTTTTAGATAAAATAGGATTCCCACCACAGGAGAGCTGCTGCATGAATTGAGAAATAAAAACGGAATACACAAAGTGGAGATAAAAGGGAACAGACACGTAACGCAACGCAAAATAAAAACGAATGTTACCGGACAGCTGTGAGTATACTGCATGAGAATGAGGATTACATCGAACATGGTTTTTTAGAGTTACAATCATCATTGGATTTGTGTCCGAGTGGTTTTCTTAGGAGGATACTCTACACAAGTTAAGTTAACTTTGATTAGTAAACTCAAGATCTCGATAGCACGAGATTTTAAGACCCGACTATTTGGAAAGTCACGAGAACAGGTCTTTGAAATAATCCTGAAATTTAGTCTGTACTTTGATAGGTTACTTCTGAAACCAGTAGAGGTTTACTGACGTCTGAGTACCCAAGTTTCTTAACAGTTGGGAGGAGCGATTCAGAGTTCTTCAGACTACGACAAATTTTTCAGCCATTCAATCGGAATTCTTATAGACTTATAATCGTTTCTAGTGATACCTTGCAGGTTTTTAGGAGTCTATCACTTTGAATATGTAAGTGTACATATGAAAGTTCTACGTCATCGATAAAAATGGTGTCGAATAAACAGCTATAAACATACAGGCATTTATTATGTGTTTATGAAATGGCTGATAGCTCCAACTAATCGGTAGTGAGAATGCTAATTTTTGAGGGGTAAACAGTTTCATAGGTTATATATAAAGTAAAAATTAGTGCATATTTAATAGCCAGGAACATAAACAATATGCATAGACGACTGATTTATTTATGTGGTAGTAACACCTCTAATGATAGACTTGTACATAATAATGCTGCTGTTTGCAACAAAACAAGCAGTTGAACTTTCGAACATAAAGCAAGGTTAGTCGACCCATAAACTTAAATTAGCACAATAAACAGGCACAGAAAAGTGTGAAATTTTAGTCTTCATTAAGCCATAAATTAGACCGTTGTACCCGACATATAATATATTGCCGTCAAGTTAAAAACTGCTAAATCCAGACTCACCTACGTTTTTGCCACATCTGCTCAATCGCATCGGCCAGTTCACTGTTAGAAAGCTCATGATCATCCTGAAACTTAAGGAAACCATCACCACCATGGCCTGAGGCGGGAATCAAAATTTTTAGGTAATACCTGTCATATATATTAGGATATTACTGTGCTCATCAGTATTGAGGCGCTTAGAAGTAGGTGTCGAAGGTGGTAAACGCCCAGTTAATACACGAATGAAGTTTTCTACAGTAACTTCGTAACCACGATAATCAATCTCTATCTCTTCGCCATACAAATTTACACGACTGTAAGGGTTGTTGAAGATTGTTGCTAAGATCATAGTGACACGTCAAATATCTTACCTGGTCTCGGATTTCTCGAGCTACAACTTGCATCATCAGCCACCATTAAAATAATACGGCTTTTACGATAAAGAAATATAATAAGCAATATAATACCTATCCGGTATTCCAAGGCGCTTGATACTTCGATAAATTGAAAGGACATTGCTTATATGTCGATAGTTGAACCAGAACCGCGAAGTATCTACAAGGACAGCCCAATTTGATGTGTGTCTTCCGTACGAAAAGCTACTACTTGACTATGAAGTAAATTTATACGTTTAGTAGCCAACATACCAACAAGATGGAAAAGATATAGTAACAAGAATTCAACCAGCAGCATCTCATTCTGAAAAGGTCTGACAACCTTCAAGACAGGCGCAAGTGACTGGCCTTGTAGGTCAAACGGCTTTACAATCATTGTCACATTGGCCTCGACAAGTGTCGAATTCGGTTTAAAGCGGTTAGTTCGAAGTATTTGTTTTATATCTCATTCAGAAGCTTTTGCTATCAACTTAGTTCTACTTATTAGGCTTTCCCAATCTCATACTTATGTTATTTCTGATTTTTGTCTATCACTTTCATTATTAAATGTAAGCGCTTGTCCATTCACATGAGGCTCATTCAGACAAAGTCGTCAGCAATAAAGATAGTAGGTTGGTGAACCTGTGTTAATCCTTAGAGTTTGTTTTCAAGGGAAGTTCCACTTATTTCGAGATCCGCCAAGTTGTATCTCCTCATTTCCATTGCTATTTGACTGGTCCTTCCGGTCTTCCACACTATCAGGACGTTTGAAGAGACCTCAGGTTCGTGACTTCCTAAGCATCTCGGCTTTCATCCTGTAGACGTCATAATTCTTCCTTGAACTCGGAGGGCTGAGTTTAAGTGTTTCAAATGATTTTTCTGCTTAGCGTTCTTTTAACAAGGTTGTCTTGCCACATAACCAACCCTCCTTAAATATCCGCGCTTGGGACTAGCAGTAACCCTAGAAGGGCTACAAGCGAAGTTTAAGCATGCCTATACTTTGTGAATTATTATTTAACACTAAGACATCAATAATTTGGGCACGTCTTTCAAGTTCTAAATTTATCTCAGTTTGTAAGTTGTAGGTATTTTAAACTTCGTTACTTCTTTTCTGTGGTTAAGTAAATACTTTTATACCTGTTACGCAAATAAATAGGTCACAAGATGAATGTGGTTACTTTGAAACGAATTGTTTATGCCCTAAGTTATGTACGTTTCTTCACCTTGACGATCTTCATAGGTTTTACGTGACTAAATCATGATGCTGTTTTTAAAAATGTCTTTCAAATATTTTCCAATATATTACTCATCTAAACTTTCAACAAAGTTTTCTCCATCTCTACATTTTGAAACGTCCATTAGCTAGATGAAAACGATGTTGGGTGTTACGTAAGATTAGGGTACAGTAGTCTTACCATGTATAGAAGTATGACTTACTCTGTTGAAACTTCTGTATCAGCTTAAAATTACGATTAATAATAACCTTCAGTCTTCAGTAATAAGGATAGAAGGTCTAGTGACCTATTTTAATCCTTGCAGTTTGTTACACTGTGGAGGTCCAATCTCGTCTTGAATATATCAACAGAAGGTGCTGATATTACGTGTTCTGGTAGAGAATTCCAGTAATTCACTACTCGGTGCGAGAAACGAGACTCCAGACGTAGACGATTTGATCTCGGTTTTTGGACTTTCTTTGGATGTCCTCTCAAATGCTCAGCCCTAGACGGGAGGAAAAGATAGGACATGTTAGTACCAAGGTCATCGTTCAGGATACGATATGCCAATATTAGATCACCCCGTATTCGCCGGTAAGATAACGGAAATAAGTTGAGGTGTCTCAGTCTGTCTTCATAAGATAGGCTAGATAAGCCTTTTACCATTTCTGTCCCGCGGCGTTGGACTCGTTCCAACATATCCGCCTCATATTTGAAACAAGGACTCGCTGCTTGAATCCCATATTCCAAATGTGGCTGTACGAAAGTTGGGTATAATAATCCAAACATTTCCCCATCCAGATACCGGAAAGATCTACGAATAGACCATAATGCCCTATAGCTTTTTGCAGCAGCAGCCTTACAGTGACTGGTTGTTTTGGGATCATTACTTAGTATGACTCCTAAATCTTTGTAGTTTCTTACTTTGGGCAACACTAGTCCACATATTGTGTAGTGATACGAATCATCGTAGTTATTTAATTTCATTTGAATGAATGAAATTATGAACTTTATTGACGATATCCCTGGTCATACTAAAAGCAAAACAATTAACATTATTATTATTATTACCTTTATTATTATTATTATTATTATTATTATTATTATTATTATTATTATTATTATTACTTACCATATCGCTAATTCACCCCCTTTTATCCCCAATTTGTGTAACCTTACTCTTCAACTTATGCAGCAGCTCGCTCTTGGTGGAAAATCTGTCCTATCTAAACGATCTCCAGTCACTGTCTGGTTGAAAGTGAATGCTTCCACCGATTATGAATACTGAGGCAGTCTTTCTGAAACCACGTACGCCGTTCAAGCTGGCTTCCTTCAACGTTCGCACACTAATGCAGATCAGACAACAGATAGGGCTGGCTATGTCTTTGGAAGGTCTTAATGTTGACGTTTGTTGTCTATCCGAGACCCGTATTCAAGACTCTAGTGAAGTACTACAAATCCGCTCTCCATCTGTCGCCTCGAAAAGCTTGTTCCACGTGCGCTTATCCGGGGACCCTGTGGCATCTTCGTCTGGTCTTGCTGGCGTTGGTGTCGCACTAAGCGCTAGAGCTGAGGCAGCACTAATCGATTGGATCCCCATTAACAGTCGGTTATGTGCTGTTAGATTAGAAAGTTCCATCAAAGTGAGAAGAAATCGGCGTGAGAAACGGTGTCTTTTCGTCATCTCCGCCTATGCCCCGACAGATTGCAGCCCGGATGCAATCAAGGATGAGTTTTACCATCAGTTAACAGTTCTTCTCCAGAAAGCGCGTTCGACAGATATTGTAGTACTAGCCGGAGACTTGAATGCACAGGTCGGGCGTCTAGGCACAGAAGAGAGTCGTCTAGGTGGCCGATGGGGACTTGTTGGTCGCAGGACAGATAACGGGGACCGTTTGCTGCAACTGTGCACAGACCACAATCTGTTTCTGGCCAGCACTAACTTCCGGCACAGTCATCGCCGGTGTGCCACCTGGCGTCCTCCCTCTGCATCCCAAGCCTGGACTCAGATTGATCACATCGCGATCAGCTACCGCTGGCGTGGTTGTGTACAAGACTGCCGCTCCTTTTGGAGTACCTATCTGGAGTCTGATCATGCCCTGGTCTGCGCCAATCTCACCTTACTTTTCAGTGGCCGAAGGATTGACCACCACCAACGGATTGATATTAGTAAACTGGCTGCAACTTCTGTTGCAAGTAAGTATCGAGCGGAGCTAGCCTCTAGGCTAGCTACCACCCCACCGAAAAGTATAGGTAAGCATTGGTTGCATCTTCATGACGCCATGAAAATGGCGAGTAAAGCCGCTTGCGGCTTCGCGAAACGTCCCGCTTACAAGCACTGGGTTTCTTCTGGCTCCTTACAACTGATGGAAGCCCGTCGGTCTACTCCGGGTGACCGTGAGTTTGACCACAAACGAAGGCTGTTACGTAATGAAATCGGGCAAAGCTTGTGTAAGGACCGGGAAGCCTGGTGGTCGGAGCGTGCTAATGAGATGGAAGCAGCAGCTGCATCTGGTAACTGCCGGAAGCTCTTCCAACTCATCCGAGCCACTGGCAGCAAGAAGTCTGGTGTGAGTGAAACAATCTACGAGGATGACGGGATGCCAATCACTGACATCTGTCGACGTCTTGGACGATGGGCGGAATTTTTCGAAGGGCAGTTCAACTGGCCTGCTGCTCCGGCAACATCAACCAGCTTGTCCTGCTCCCCATGGCCGGTGACGACTGATCCACCAAACGAGGCGGAAGTCCGCAAGGAACTCCAACTCTTGAAACGTTATAAATCACCTGGCCCAGATGACTTACCTCCGGCTCTTTTTAAAGATGGTGGTGACTTTCTGGCTAAGGAACTGACTGCGTTGTTTGGAAAGGTTTGGGAGCAAGAAAGTGTTCCAACATTTTGGAATGAGTCAATAGTCGTCCCTATCTTTAAAAAGGGTTCACGTTGTTCCTGTAGCAACTATCGGGGGATAAGTCTACTTTCGATCGCGTCCAAACTATTGGCTTCTATCATTCTTCGTAGGTTGTTTAAAACCCGAGAACGATTGACTCGCGAGGAGCAGGCTGGTTTTCGTTCTGGTCGAGGATGCATTGATCACATCTTCACCCTCCGCCAAATGTTAGAACACCGTCATACTTATCGCAGGCCAACAATCGTAGTGTTTCTTGATATCAGGGCTGCCTTCGATTCGTTGGACAGGACTGTTCTCTGGGATTGTCTATTGAAGAAGGGTGTGCCTGAGAAGTTCATTAACATCTTAAAGGCCCTGTATACGAACACCTCAGGCAGAGTGAGGGCATACAACCACCTTTCTCCCTTGTTCCATTCGAGCAGTGGGGTTAGGCAGGGTTGCCCGATCTCCCCATTCCTCTTCAACTTTGCCATCGACGACATCCTAGAAACAGCTCTGATGGATGTAAGTAATGGCGATGTGGATATGTTGCCTGGAGAACGACTTCTCGACCTCGAGTATGCGGATGATATTGTCTTACTGTGCGATAATGCCCAAGGCATGCAATCAGCACTTAATCAGTTGGCAATCAGTGTCCGCAGGTACGGCATGTGCTTTGCACCCTCCAAGTGCAAAGTACTCCTACAAGACTGGCAGGATTCTAATCCTGTACTCACCCTGGATGGTGAGGAGATCGAAGTAGTTGAGAAGTTTGTGTATCTAGGTAGCTATATAAGTGCTGGTGGTGGCGTGAGTGATGAGATTGATGCACGTATAATGAAAGCCAGAGCGGCTTATGCCAATCTGGGCCATCTTTGGCGCCTTCGTGATGTTAGTCTGGCTGTAAAAGGTCGGATCTACAAGCGTCGGTGAGAGCAGTTTTGCTCTATGCTTGTGAAACCTGGCCTCTCCGAGTTGAGGATGTTAGACGACTCTCTGTGTTCGATCATCGTTGTCTCCGAAGGATTGCTGACATCCAATGGCAACACCATGTTAGTAATGCAGAGGTTCGGCATCGTGTGTTCGGGCGCAGAGACGATAATTCAATTGGTGTCACCATCTTGAAACACCGACTTCGGTGGCTTGGACATGTTTTACGAATGTCGTCCCAGAGACTTCCACGTCGTGCATTATTTGCCGACCCTGGGACTGGTTGGAG